GCTTTTCTGTGAATGACGTATATATACATATATATATTCATATATATATATATATATATATATATATATATATATATATATATATATATATATATATATATATATATATATATATATATATACACCATTGTGCAAATTTATATTGAAACGTCCGCTTTAGCTTCCTTTCTTTCTAGAGAAATCTAATGCAATCACGGATGACGTAATATTTTTCAAGGGCAAAACATTTCATCATATTCTCCGAAAATAGTTTCATATTTCTGCACACACACATGGCCTAATCTGATGTAAAAAATAGAAATCGATTACATCCTGTCAAAACTTACCGTATAGTGAAAGGAACTAAAACGGTTGATTCAATTAATATATATATATATATATATATATATATATATATATATATATATATATATATATATATATATATATATATATACATACATGATAGGCTACCCTGTTTATTTAGTAAACTGTATATTTATTTATTTTCATTATACAGCCTGAATATTTGAGGAATCATAGAAAATTTTGCTCTCTCTGGCAGGATTCGAACCTACATTCCGTAGATCATTTGATGTGACGTGCTTCGACTATGGAGTGCCTAAGAGCGAAGAAAATCAGGAATAGTGATTTTAAAGAGATCGCATATTTTTTCTAATAAGTTTTCTGGAATATCCAAGCAAAAATCAGTCAGTTACGTGCCATGCGTGATACACGCTCACTAGATAGATTTTTTCACACAGTATGTTGCCATTTCTTTCTGCAGTAGACCAGTTGCCATCCAAGGCTATAGAACCCGGTCTGTGTTGCTATTTACCCATAGCTGGGAGGAGAAGAAGATTCATAACTTTCCCAGGGATATAAGCACATAAGTGAATATAATGGATTCGAGTGGAATTCGAACTCGGCTCTCCGATTCAGTTATGTGCCATGCGTGATACACGCTTAGGCGATCATGTATCTTTCAATACATGACTCACTAGACAGATTTTTTTCCCACAGTAGGTTGCCATTATTTTCTGCGACAGACCAATTGCTATCCAAGGCTATAGAACCCGGTCTGTATTTGTATATAGCGGGGGGGGGAGTGCTAAGAGGATTCATACCTTTCCTAATAGTATCATTATAAAACAGCGCATGTACTTAAATATTTGTATCTATAAAAAGAATGTATATACATAAAATGTCTTAAAATAATTGTCGGACTTTGTCCATTTCATAATATATATATATATATATATATATATATATATATATATATGTGAAAATTTCTCCGATTTAACCAGTAGAGAAGACGATATTTATGAATAAAAATGACAATAGGAAAACTGGTAATTGCTGACGCGTTTCGTCCAATGTGGACTTTATCAAAGCAAAATACGAATTTCGTCATTTGTCATTTTTATTCATAAATTTATATATATATATATATATATATATCGATTCATGATTTAAAGTTGATCTTTATCCTGGTATATCTGTCTGGATTAATTAATTCCATTTCTTAAAAATATGCTGTCTGAAGAGATGAAAAATATTTATGGATTCTTAAGGTATTTTCTTAATTTATCCTTATATAATTGTTGTGTGACATGCATTGAGCTCTCATTGGATTAAAATCCTCCTTAGAATAATCCTTACCAATTATCAATATTTATTATATATATATATATATATATATATATATATATAGTAATCCGTTGGTGTAATCCAAGCGAGTCCTATTAACACAATATAGAATTTGAAATATATAAAATACAAAGAGCGATCGATGTTTATTTTCATTAAACAGAGCAAAATTTTTCTTACAATTGGAATTAACATACCATTAGGTAATGACCATTTTCACCTACGAATATTAAAATTTAAAATTCGCAGGATTTTTCAAACTGTTCATGGTTTCAGAGAGCCATTCTACAAACTGACATCATAAATAGTTTGAAAATTTTTAAAATTCTTAGGTGAAAATGGTCATCAACTATTAGTATCTTAATTCCAATTTAAGAAAATATATATATATATATATATATATATATATATATATATATATATATATATATATATATATATATATTATTGTATATTTTGGCAGCATGTTTCATTAAGACATGATTCATTGAATAATTTAAACTCGTTTTGTCTACTTATTTTCAACAGAATCCTTTTTTATGCACGGACAAGTTTTTTTGTTGTTGTCATTATTAAAGGAAAAGAGAAAATTCACAAGTAAAAAAAAAAATTACTTTCAGATGAACACAACAATTTTGCCTTTGCAAATCATGACACTACAATATTTTTCTTGAAATAAACAACACCCTGATGAAGACATTGTATTATGTCGAAAGTACTCGGAATAAAAATAATATCAACATGGCGATTCTGTCCTTTTTTTCAATAATGACACCAAAAAGTTTATCCGTGAATATGAAAAAGAAT